CAAAGTTTTTTATTGGTTTGCATGCTTTTTAAAATGCCGTCCTCAGCCCTGACTGGTTTGGCTCAGTGGATAGAGCGTCGGCCTGAAGACTGAAGGGTCCCAGGTTCAATTCCGGTCAAGGGCATGTACCTTGGTTTCAGGCACATCCCCAGTGGGGGGTGTTCAGGAGGCAGCTAATAGATGTTTCTCTCTCATCGGTGTTTCTAACTCTCTATCCCTCTCCCTTCCTCTCTGTACAAAAATCAATAAAATATTTTTTTAAAAACCACACACTTTAAAATGTCCTCCTCAGAGATAAGTCAGAAGTCTGTGCTTGTGTTGGGGTTTTACAGATCCTTTTCTTCTTTCTTATGCTGAATGGCAGCTGTTGTTACCCCACATGCCTGCCTACTTTGGGGATCTCTCATTTGTATTCTTTAGTGCCAGCATCTCCCTTTCTGGGGCAGGGTACAGTTCTAGACGCTTAGAACTGGAAAGGAAGTTGGGATAAGCTACTTTTTCTCCCTCTCTCTCTCTCCCTCTCTCTCTCTCTCTCTCTCTCTCTCTCTCTCTCTCTCTCTTCATCTAAAAAAGGGAAACTGAGAGCCAGGGAAAGGAAATGACTTGTTGAGCAGAGATGATAGCCCACGTAAAGTCTCACTGCTGTTTTGCATCAAAGCTGGGACTGCAGTGCTGGACCTGACTCCTGGTTTAGTCTTGTTCCGTTTGTAATATACTCCTCCTCTTCATCTGGACAATTCCTTTGTGTTCTCTAAAATAAAGCAAACCTGAAAAACTGATAATCAGTTAATTTACAAAGATGTGTTATCTGATTTTAAATGGTGAGGGGAGGGGAAAGAAGGTGGGATGGGGGAGAACATAAACCAAGATTAAACGAACAAGAACACATCCATGCGAGTGTGTGAGGTTCAGGCGAAGAGAACTGAGTGCTCTGACAGGAAGGACTGCTTGGAAGGATTGGCGCAGGACGGGAAAGGAGGCATGGGGCAAGGCCAGGAGCAGGGGCTGTTCTAGTCAAGAGTGGGGCTCTGTGCGCAGTAGGAAGACAGTGGAGTTTCATTCGGGAGTTCATTCTACACATACTCTGTGGTGGTATGTGCTGGGCACGGGTTTGTATTGGTCACTCCTCAGTCCTCCATGGAAAAGGCAATCTGGTTGTGGAGACTGTCAGCAGACACATAAATAGGTAACTGCAGAATGTGGTAGATACAGGGTGTTGTGAGAGGGTAGAATAAGTTATTTACCCTTGAGAGCAATCCAGGAAGGGCTTCGAACGGAAGGCTAATATCTGGGAAAATGAA